ATTGCATATTTTTTGAAATTTATTAACTAACTAACTAATATACTATATTTAAAATAATTTAATATTTAATAAAATATTTTTAATTAAATTAAATTATTTAAATAAATTATGTTTACAATTGAACCGGCCGGTTTTCAAAACCACGATAAATGGTCAAAATCATTATGGAATAGTAAAATTATTATATATTCTTTTTATTTCACATTTATAATTTCTTACATTTTTAGATTAATCAAATATTATATCACATGCTATGAAATAATTTTCCTTGTTCTAATAGTTTTTTTTCAGATATAACTTTTGATATAAATATGAATTTTTATTGCATAAAATATTTTATTTAAAAATAAAAAATTTTTGTTCCGTTTCCAATAAAATTAAGGAGAATTTACATACATATCACTTTATTTCATGCTATTTATATATTTAATATCGAAAATTTTAATATTATATATCATTCATAAAAAATTAATTGCTGGCTCAATGCCCTCTCTTTAAAGCTCCATTAAAAAAACGCTTAGAAAATTAATGTGAGAGGCTCCTCCCACGCAAATAAACCCTAATAATGCCTACATTCTCAATTTAGCTTGTTTACACGCATTCATACAATATAAAGGATATTACACGGCAATCTTCTTTCTGATACCTCTAAGAAAATGAACATAAAATCAAAGATTTCGTATCATCTGAATCTAACATCATTTCAAAAAATAAAAGAACTTTTTTTTTCTTTTATTGCAAACCATTTTCTGATGCTTTAAAATGCTTCTTCCCTGTTTCATTTTTGTATTCCATGTACACTGTAAACCTGTACAAATGCTTCTTCAATCTTCACTAAACCCAACAGCACAAAGAATCAAAGAGCTCGTTTTGGTTCTCGCAGGCAAATAAAAAGTTTTTTTTTTCTTTTTTTGGTTCCTTGTTAAACTTGTTAGCATTGAAGCGCCAAGGCCCAACAAAAAAAACAACAAAAAACTTTGCGACTCTCCCATGCCGTATTCATCTCTGAAGTGAGATCTCGAACAGATCCGAATCGGCTTCAAGGCCCTCGTCCAAAATGCCATTGCTCTTCTTACTACTACTGCTATAGTAGCTGTTCCGATTCTTACTTCTTTTGCCATGCTCAGTCCAGTCTGCCTCCAAGCGAGGTGCAGAGAAAAGCTCGCCGCTGTCAATGGAGCCTGCCGTCGGCCGGGCGCCGGAAGGAAGCCGAAGAAAGCTGGGATTTTGCATTCTCGTAACGTTAGCAGGTGCGTACTTGAACGGTACCTGGCCTAGATTGACAAGAATCATGGCGTCTGCATCGGCGGCCAAGACGGGATACAGAGGGCTGCTATATGCCTCTGAGGTGCAGCGGATGACATGAACAAGCTGAGAATCAACTGTGAAAAATACCTTCTTCTTCCTCGGCGCGAATCCGCATCCAATCACTCTGTTTACATCAGCCCACTCTGCTTTTTCCGATTCGAAAATTAGCTTTCTTCCTGCAATCAATCAGCATTAGTTTAGAAAATTTTTCCTAAATTTAGAAAGCTAAGATAAACAAGTTTAAACCTTACCATCAAGATAAACGGAGCCATCGGAGTGGAAGCCAATTGATCCAGGAAAAGTTCCCGGCAAAGGCTGATTCGACATGGATGCTCTGTTAATTAGACCCAAGCAAACGGCGAGATCGCCGGATCTTCTTTTTTCTGTACTAGAAGTTGGTTCCTTGGGAGTAAATATGATGGGGGCTGAAGCGTTGATGGAATTCCCTTTAACCAGTTTTGACCGATCAGTTTCTCCATCTTTTACCCGCTTACTTGCGGTTTCCTGAAGCTTCTTCCGTGGTTGGAGGTAGAGAATGGTGATTTCAAAATAAGCTTCTTGGGGGAAGGATCCGCCGCCTAACACTGGGCCGGGAAGAGGAAGGCTTGTTCTGACGAAGGAGAAGGATAGGTCATCGGAGTTTTTCTTCGGACCAGGGTTGAGCCTTACCGTTTGCATGAACTCCGACGAACCGGCAGGCAAGTCCCAGCCTCTCGCCGCCGCATCACGCTGTGTTCCGCCGTCGCACGCCGGGCAGAAAACCCAAAGAGGGCTGGCAGAAGCCCGGGGTATCGAGGCGGAAAAGGCGAAGCCGGGCCAGCCAGTTTCGACGACCTCGGTGATAAGGCGAGGGTGCTCGTCCCAGTTGAACGGAGAAGACGGCGGCAACGCTGGAGTATGATGGTGGTGGTTGTTGTTGAGCTGGTGGAAGCGGAGGCTGTTCCTTACGCTGCTTCCCGACTTGTAGGAGAGGTGGAACTTATTGATGCCGGCTTGAAGAGTATCGAATTTGGGTTTTACGGGGGTCTCGGAGATTTGAGGGAGGGATGTTTGGGGGCTGATGAGCTGCTGCTGGCGCTTCCGGCGGCGACGGCACCGGATAAGGAGGATGGAGAGAACGAGGATGGCGGCGGCGGGGATGGCGCCGGCGATTATTTTGATCCATAGCTTCATCGATCTCTGTCGTCTCTGCTCTGAATCAGTCTACTTTTCTCCTCTCAATGATAGAGAAAGTTATTGGCTTGCAAAGGGCAAAGAGGGAGGAGAGTAGGTCTATAGGGACGGCGCCCGCGTGGACTGGAGATCAGAAAATTGGTATAATGGCAGAAAGAAACGGATGAAGAGGGAGGTGGCGACAGGAGAACCGAGATTGAAAAAAATTCAAAGCTTTGATTCTTTCGTATGTTTTTAAATAAAGGACAGCTTTGAAGAAGCGTGGACAGGCGGGCATTTGTGCTCATATAAATGCTAAAGGGGTAGATGGGTGGAAATTTCGAACTTGAGCTGTCCGTTACAACAAATTTGATGCAAGCCAATTATTGATAAATGAAAATACATAATTTTTTAGTGTTTTTTATTTATGTTAAATACCATGAATTTACTCTGAGCAATGCTACCCTTAAATCAATGAGACTTTCGTTTTTGAGGTAAGGCAACGTTCAATATTATGAATAAAAACATAATATTTATGAGAAGATTGTATAATCATTCTCTATCATAGAAAAATTTCTAAGATGGTAAAGGAAAGTCAAGACATTAACCACCCAAGAAGAAAACTAGGGGATTCAAGATGCATCTTCAACAAGTGATGATTGTAACTATGGAGATATTGACTGAGAAAAATTTGGTGAAGATTTTTGAGTCATATATCAAAAGATTAGAAGGCATTATTATTGGAGAAATATATTGCTATCATGACAAAGAAAAAAATAGTGAGAGTTCTAGTAGACAAGAAGATGGCTTAGAATATGAATATATTGAGCTTTCTTATTATAAGAGACATCAAATAATGAAGCTAGATACCAAGATTAGCATCCCTATATTTTATGGATCCATTGATAACTTTTTAAGATTTACATTGGTAAAACTTTTAGCGTATATAAGTGAATATTTGGATATATATATAGAACTTTTCTATTTGGATTCAGAGGAAAACATGCAATATAATTTCAATAATTCATAGTGATCATGGTAAATTATTTGAAAATGAGAAATTAAAATTATTTTGAAAGGAATCTGATATAGTTCATAATTTTTATGCTATTAGGACATCACAATAAAATGGATTTGCTGAAAAAAAATAGGACTTCAGTAGAGGCAGGGAAAGAGGTTATCTTAGGAGATCTATCTATATGGGTTAGAACGAAGCAAGGTCATAGGAAAGAGGTTATCCAAGGCAATGACGTGAGATCTTATTAGGTAATTTTTCTTAGGAAAGGGGAATTGCCCCCACCTAAAAAAATTAAAATATCTTTTATATAAAGGATTATTATATGATTATTTATGTAATTTGTCATCCTCCATCTATTTTTAGTATTTATTACAAGGATTCTTAGGCTTCGCCGCTGCAAGCCACCAACCCATTATAACTTCATTAAACATTCTCTACCCACCAAATACTATAGAATTGATTGCCATCATCACTCCAACCCATTGTTTTAGTATTTCTTGCTACTCAAATGCGTCAAATACACAATCTCCATATGGTTTGGAGTGACGATGTCACTTCAAGATCACAAGGTTGTAATGATTAAAATAAAATATGAAAGGTTGGTGATTGATAACAATGATACTTTAGCGACCCGAGCAACAATGATTTGTCAATCATGGGTGTCACTAAAGTCCAAGGTAGTAGTAAGGTGTTTGCGATAGTGTTGAAGTAAACCACACAACGATGCAAATGAAAGAACTCAATTTGGTGTAATTTGTTTTCCAAGTAAAATATTATTTTTGACGAATTTCAAATGCTTCACAATTTCTTTTCACCCTTTTTAGCATAAGACTTATTCTTTGTGGTGGCATAAAACATTATTGGTAGTATCACACTCAATGGAATTCAATAAAATTTTTTTGATAAGAACAACAATAAGGAAATTTCCCACACGATTCATAAATATGGATGAGACAAGTGTCTGTTGTACAAGACTTTAAAATAGGAGACCACCTTACTAAAAATTTGATCTAAAGCCAAATATAGTCATTAGCAGTGTTAAGAATTTGATGACATTAATCTACTTATAGAAGAACTTAAATTTATCTTCATCATTGAAAGCCAAACATTTTTAACTTCATATAATAACTTAAATTGAAAGCCATTGAATAGATTTCGACTTCGTTTGGAACGGTTTTTTAACTATTTCTTAAAACAGATTTATAGCATAATTTTTGTGCTAAAAAACTACTTGAAGTAGTAAAAAAAACTGTCCCATAAGAAGCATTCATTTGTGACTGCTTTCTTACTACTTTTTAAAGCAACTTTTTAGTATTAAAATTTCTTGAACTAATAAATTTCACATTATAAAGTTTATTTAAAAAATAATAAAAAAGTTGTCTCGAACAAAACCTTTGAAATAAATTTTTAATTCTTTTTAATTAGAGAATCGAATTAATCCAATAAGTTCATATAAAAATTGGCCAAGATAGGGACAAATTTAACTTTTTGAGAGTCAATGTTAGATAGAGCGAGGCTAAGAATTTAGCATTCCTTAAGACTACTTAATTTAGAGTACAACAAAAAAAGGGCCCCCACAGCCTCCTACTTCTAAGCCTCAACCACCAGCAAGAAAATAGGCATTGAAGTTCATACATTTGGAAGCCCGTTGGTTCATTTGGTAAACGTCCTAGAAGCTACTGTCATAATTTTGAATTTTAATATTGTCTACATCAAATTTATATCTTATCCCTTATCATTTGCAAAAATAAGATAAAATAATGTAAAATAAAATCAAATATGTATAAATTGTGCTACAAATATTTTACTATTTTTTCATAATTTTTTAGGAATTTTTGTGGTGGAAATATATATTCGCAACAACAACAACAACAACATCAAACTTTTATCCCACTACGTGGGGTCGGCTACATGAATCCTTTTTCTTCATTGTGTCCTATTAAAAGTCAAATTCTCTTTTAAATCTAATAAAGAAAGGTCATTCCTAATATTTTCTAACCAAGTCTTTCTAGGTCTACCCCTACCTTTCTTAACATAAGTCAAATCTAATACCTCTACTCTCCTAACCGGGTCATCGCAAGGCCGCCGTTTTATGTGATCAAACCATCTAAGGCGACTTTCTTTAATTTTATCTTCTACTGGAGCTACTCCAACCTTTTCACGTATATGCTCATTTCGTATCCTATCTCTAAGGGTAAAGCCACTTATCCACCTGAGCATCCTCATCTCTGCCACACTTAACTTAGTATTATGCTTCTCTTTTAAAGGCCAACATTCGGCACCATAATGAGTAGTAAATTTTTTTATTGCAACAACTTTACAACTAATTTTATAAATGGTGCAACCATCCGAAATAGACCCTAAGGGTCATTTTGGAATTACACCAGATTTTTATAAAGATGGTTGTAAATTTGCTATAGGGAAAATAATGAAAAAGCAGTGGCCCAATAGTAAATGTGGTTGGGATCTAAAAAGCAAAATAGTGAGAAAGCCTTCTCAAACAAAACCTTATTATTTCTTAAAGCAGCTTTTTAGTATAAAATTTTAATTTTTAAAGTAAAAAGTTGTTTTAAGAAGTATTAAAAAGGCCGTCCCAAGCGAAGCCTAAATTTAATGGCTATCAGTTTGTATAAAAGTGTTTGTATATGATTTTTGTGATTGAGAAAATTCATTCGCCTCGGCAGAATTGGTACAAACTTTTTTTTTTTCTTTGGTCCTAGGCTCAGAAAGCTGCTTCAGATGCAGAGTAAAAGGACCATTTCGGTCGCCAATGAAACAGTTCAGGGCGGTGCTCTATTTCTTATCTGGGGATCAGAAAGTGCAAATGAAATAGAACAAACTTTCGCTTCTTTAATCTGTTAAGTGTTTTGATATGACTTTGAATGTGATAAATGGTAATTTTTGGTTATCGATAACTGCAATAATTTGATTGAGGAAGATGGAAAACGAATAATAATCAAATGGGCTAATTCATTCCGTTGATGTATGAATATGTTTAATTTGCAGCTGCATGCATGAATAATGATGGAATTTGATTCTATTCACGCGTGTGCTTCGTCTGCTAGGATTTGCCCCCTTTCCTCTTTTCGCTAGGGCTTTTGCCCTAGCCGTTTTTCCTCGCCTTTTCTCGCCTCCGCCCTGGCTTCCATGGCTAACAGGAGGTTGGATCCGGGCTTCCTTGCGGGGAAGAGCTCCAAATCCTTTAAAGACGCTTTGTCGGGGTCCGTCGATGCGAATGCTTTTCCGGATCTTCGTGTTTCTACGATTCGCGGTATGCCTGCTTTATGGTTTTCAGAGGATGAATTTATGCATCTTGCTAAACCTTTCGAATTTGCGTTGGTGGGGAAGTTTCCCCTTAAACGTCCGGCTTTGGATGCAATACCTAAATTTTTTTTTCAACCGTAAGTTATCCGGTGATTTTTCTGTTACTTTGCTGGATCAATCTAATGTTTTGATAAAGTTATCAAACGATCTTGATTATGGAAGGGTTTTTTTCTCATCGATCATATTTCGTTTATGGATGTTTCATGAAAATTATTAAGTGGTCGCCTACTCTGGACCTTTCGGAAGAATCGCCTGTCGTCCCTGTGTGGATTTTGTTTCCGGGTTTGTGACCCCATCTCTTTTCTTCTCGTATTCTCTTTGGCCTGGGATCTATTTTTGGTCGGCCGATACAGACCGATAATGCGACGGCTGTGGAATCTTGTCCCTCAGTCGCACGCATTCTTGTTGAACTTGACATTTCCAAAAACTATCCTAATTCTGTTTGGCTGGGACCGGAAAAACTTGGGTATGTGCAAAAGGTGTCTTTTGAGGACATACCTAATTTTTGTTTGCAGTGTAAGGCTATGGTCCATTTGAAGTCGGAATGTGGTAAACTTTTGACTAATTTGCGTTCGGGTAAGCTTTCTGCGGCTCCGCCGGTGGAGCCTGTTTCTAAACCATTTGAGAATTCTGTTTCTCTCTCGGTTGATATTTCTGTTCCCCTCTGTGAGAATAATTTGATTATTACTACTGATTGTGTTATTGGTAATAATGCTGGAGGGGGCGGAGTCGAGCCTCCTGTTGTGTCTTTGGTGGATCCTCCTGGTGTTGGGTCTAGAGCGTTGAGTGATGGTTTTGTTTCTGAGGCTGGGGTTCAACCGGGAATTTTTACTCCTCCTGTAGATGATTTTATTAATGTGGTTGATGTTGTTTGTCCGGTGATTGGTGCTCCTTTGGAGCTTTGTTTGCCTCCTGGGGT